ACTAAAGAGGACTCGTCGGCGGTGAATGTGTGTTTCACATCTTTGGTAAACACTGCAGCATCGTCTGGTCTCACTCTCCATCAGGACTCTCCTGTTTCTGGCTTCCGTCTGTGGGTTTTTCGTCTGCGTGCTCTGTCCTCACTCCTCCACCGAAATCGTCCTCGTCCTCCTCTTCCTCCTCCTCCTCCTCCTCCTCCTCGTCCTCGTCTCTGCTGGAGTCGCTCAGGTAAGCGGCGAGCGGCTCGCTTGGGGCCGGGTGAACTTCATTTGAACAACTTTAAAGATGATTTTCTCAATATTTTGATTTTTTTGCACCCTCAGATTCCAGATATTCAAATAGTTGTATCTCAGCCAAATATTGTCCGATCCTAACAAACCATACATCAATGGAAATCTTATTTATTCAGCTTTCAGATGATGCATAAATCCCAATTTTGAAAAATTGACCTTGGTTTTGTGGTCCAGGGTCACATGTAATTGATCAAATATTAAATAAATGCATTTTTAAAACCTGCCTGAAGTAGCTCAAATGCGGTATAACACCACATTGCAAATTCCGTTAATAACGAAATGCACTAATTAAGTTATTGCACTTACATGGTCATAATTCTGCAAAATAGCATTTGCTATTTTAATCATGCAATTGTATACCGCATATTTATTTATTTACCAGATGTTTATTAGTATATTTGATCCTCGTGGAGCAAATGCATGACTATGACTACTGTTTTCTAAATATTCTTGAATATGTCGGCAGTGTAACGGTGAGATGCTGAGATATGAGTGTGCAGGCGTGTGCTCTTGCTGCCCTTTGACATGAAGTGCAGGGAATTTCCCTGAGCGTGGCGTGTTTGTTTACAGCTCAAGCAGAGGAAATCATTCACCTTCACATGGATGTCAGCGCAGCTGGTGCAATATGAGGCACTCTTGCATTATGTGCGTGTGTGTATATATATATATATATATATATATATATATAACCTTTCATATTCTGCTTTTATGACTAAGAGTGTAAAATCGGTCTTTCTCATTCTAATATCATTTAATTTGCTTACTAAGTACTAGCATTTCCAAAGAGGAATAGAATAGAATAGAAAATAGAATACTATTTTGTAATTATTGGCCTTTGCTAATTTATTGAAAGGTTTTAAACAATGTGTTCAAATCATCAACCATAAATACAAACTTTTTATGGCTTTTAGTTAAAATAACTTTGAGTAATTTTTGACTTTTAGCAGATAAACTAAACTATATTATCATCCAGATCTAATCTGCTAAATGCGACAATAAGGCATGAAGAAGATATGATAAACATCACGGTTTTCTGCAAAGCTGCTTTGAATCAGTGTGTGTTGTGAAAAGCAATGCAAATCAATAAAACAGTCAATGTTGATAAACATTTTAAAAGTTGTTTTCTTGCAATAAAATAAACAAAAAAGTAAATCGATGGCTACTGGATATTTAAAAAAAAGGTAATAATGACAATATGTTCCACCCCAACTTCCTGTTTAAACAGGAAATATATCTACACAGGACAGGAAACTGGTTGTCAAGGTGTTACACTGGTCTTTTTGTTGTTTTTCACATTAATTTTATTTTTATCTTTTATTATACATATTTAAAATAAATTTTTGTTATAATAAATATTTGTATTTTTAGATTTGATTATTCATATTTACAGTAGAATACATTTTTGTTAAAATGAATTTCATGTTTTTGTATATTATTAGACATGTAGAATACATTTTGTTATAATGGATATTGTATTTTTATATTTTATTGTATATATTTAGAATACATTTTTGTTATAATGAATATAATTTTCTATTTTTACATTTTTATTAATCATATTCAAAACACAATTTTGTTATAATGAATATCATATTTGCATTTTTATATTTTATTGCATATATTTAGAATACATTTTTATTATAATAAATATCATATTTTTTATTTTTATATTTTATTATACCTATTTAGAACACACTTCTGTTATAACGAATATCATATTTTTTTATTTTATTACACATATTTAGAACACATTTTTGTTAAAATGAAAACTATTTTTATTTTATACATAATATATTTTGTTATAATGAATATCATATTTTTATTATAGATATTTAGAATACATTTTTGTTATAATGAATATAATTTTTTTAGTTCCTCATATTTTACTATACACATTCAGATTGTTTTGTTATAATACACACCATATTGTATTTTTATATAATTTACAAATATTTAGAATACACTTTGTAATAATTAATAACATATTTTTTAAATATTTTCTTTCACATTTTTACAAAACATTTATGTTACAATGAATATCATGTTTTTATTTTTATATTTTATTACACATTTATAACACATTTTTGTTATAAAAAATAAAAATTTTTACTACACATATAATTCATATATATTTTGCAGTAGCCTTTATTTCGAGTGTGTTCTGGTGTGTTTGCTCTTACCATGATCGAATGTCTTTCATGTTGTATTCTCTTCAGCATCGACTCTGACTCCGCCTCCACCATATACGCCACAGGAGACAGGAAGCACGGACTGGGCGCGGGTGGCGTGAGAGGAAGTGATGTCAGACCGTTGTGTCCCAAACCGGCGGGGATCATGTGATTGAAGAGCGGGAAGCTGCCGAACACCGTGCTGCTGAACAGTGGCGACGCCGCATAGGCCCCGCCCACATGCTGCTGGGAGGGCGGAGTCAGTCTCTTGAACACGCCCTCGTGATGCGTCGAGTTGCCGTTACACGCCGAATTCCGCGGCGCGACCGAATGCGCTTTGGGAATAGACAAGTCTAAAGGTTCGCTCTGGATGTGGTTTGGTTGCCGTGGTGACGTGTTGATTGACAGGTCCAAGCCGGGAGGAGAGCCGAAGCGTGAGCCAATCGGATGCTGGCGTTCGGGTAAAGCGGGTGACGTGGGTTTTCTCGGACTTGCGCTTTCTTCGCTCGGCCAGCGGTTATCCAGCTGCGCGTGTGTCGGTAAAGGCACGAGGATCTGCTGCGGCACAGAATGCCAAGACGCCCGCTGCGGCGACGACAGCTTTCTATAAGGCGTGTGATTGGTTGTGGGCAACGTTTGGGCGTCGTACAGCCGAGAGAAGTTTTCAGTTTTCGCTTGTTTCTCGTCTTCCACCTCCCTCCGCAGCATCTCCTGCAGCAGATGCTCGAATTTGTTGCGCGACTGTAGCAGCGGCAGAAGCGTTGTGCCCTTAAACACACCCGTCCTCAGCGCCAGATCCTCCGCCGGGTCCCACGAGCGGCTCAGGACGGGAACGGACGACTCGGGCGGGAACAGAGAACCCTTTCTCCCGCTGACAGCAGGGGGCGACGTGGGCGAGGGGTACGCGGGATGGCCGTTATAATGAGCGCCGTTACCGGTCGCGCCGCCGCCGCTTAGGCACTTCTTACTGCTGAGGTGTGAGCTGTAAGAGCCCGAGTGACTGAAGCGCTTCTTACAGTTCGAGCATTCGTACGGCTTCTCACCTGCACAGGAGAAACACAGAAATGTAACACAATTAGGGCTGCAAAACGTATAATCGCGATTAATCGCATAAATAAAACTTTTATCAAAATAAAAGTTTGTTTACATACTATATGTGCGTGTACTGTGTATATTTATTAGGTATATATAAATACACAAACATATATGTATATATTTTAAAAAATATTTGTATTGCAAAACGATTAATTGCGATTAATCGCATTCAAAATAAAAGTTTGTTTACATGCTATATGTGACCCTGGAGCACAAAACCAGTCATCATTAGGATATTAAGTAAAGATCATGTTCCATGAAGATATTTTGTAAATTTCCTACTGTAAATATATCAAAACTTAAACCGCATAAACACATTTCATTACACCAAATACACAAAATAATGTTCTTTTTAGCAGCATCATATGACCCCTTTAACTTAATTTTTGATTAGTAATATGCATTGCTAAGATCATAATTCTGACTTTTTATGTCAATTTTTATTTACCAAAGCATGACTGTTTTCTTAACAATTAAGTTTTCTCATGCGGCAGAAATGTACTTTCACACATTTCACTCCAATTTCAAATATATATTTTTTTAATTTTAACTATTTATCATCTTAAGATTTATTGCCTTCATATATTTAACTATGTATTATTATTATTATTATAACAGCAAATGTAACCCCCTGAAATAAATAAATAATATATAAAACTAATAAAATATATAATATAAATATATAAAAATATATAATATATAAAAATAAATAAAAATAAAAATAAATTGTGTCTGGACAGGGTAATTATCACTACTTTAAAAATAACCATTTTGTGGACATCATTATTTTTTAGACAATTAGGCTAATTTTCATTACTTTAAAAATAACAATATGTTTACATTACAATAAAGAGACGTTAGCAGATAAATGTGCTTAATTACCTACAAAAAAAAATCACAGCACTGCATGGACGAGAAATCCTAACAGGCTTTAATTTCTTTATGCACAATATAGTTTGGGGTAAATTATGACGGGCATTTCTTGTGAGTGAGATTCCTTTTGCAGAATC